CTTTCCTTCCAAGCTTCTAATGTTAGGTAATGCCAAGGAATGTTAAAACTACCACACAATTGCACTCATCTCACACATTAGCAAAGTAATGCTCAAAATTCTTCAAGGCAGGCTTCAACAGTACATGAACTATGAACTTCCAGGTGTTCAAGCCGGATTTAGAAAGGGCAGAGGAACCAGAGATCAAATTGTCAACATCCGCAGGAACTCTCTTGCTTTTTAATGATCAAATTTATATTTACAAATTGTTAAATCTTGTTGGTGAATTGACACTTTATTATTACACAGTGTCCATCTTTGTCACTTCTGACAGTTTCTGTCTTAAAGCTACTTTATTGGACAGAAGTTGGCCATTCCTGCTCTCTGCAAGTTTTGATTGTATGTAGTACCTTTTCTCTTCCTTTTACTTTTAATATTTCCATAGATCTAAAGGGAGTCTCTTGTAGGCAACATATAGTTGATCTTGTTTCCTCACCCATTTAGCCAATCTACATATTTGAATATACATTCACATTTAAAGCAATTGTTAAAAAAAATAATTACTGACAGGATAAGATTTACTATTGCCACTTTCTAAGCTGCTTTTCATATGCTGTGTAGTTTTTCTTCCTAGTCTTTTCTTTATTGTTGTCATTTTTAAATTTTAAATCAATGGATTTTTTATAGTGAACTGTTTTGATTCCTTTCTCCTTTCCCATTATGCATATGCATATACAGAATATATTTTCCTTTGGTTACATCTGTCCTACCCTTTATGTTGATGACACACACATAAAAGATGATTTTATGTTGCAAATCCATTAACAGATTTGTAGTCTTCATGCTTTTGTGTTTTAAATTTTATACATTTAAAAGTGATTCACGCATATAGATTATGATACTATGGAAGTCTGTATTTGTCTATAAATTTACCTTTACCAGAGAGCTTTATTTTTTCTTATGGTTTCGTATAGCTGTTTACCATTCTTTCATTTCAACTTAAAGAGTTCCCTTCAGCATTCTCTGTAGAGCAGGAGAAATGGTGATGAACGCCTATAGATTTACTTTATCTGGAAAAATCTTTTTTTCTTCTTTGTTATTTAAACAGATTTTTGCAGAATATAGTATTCTTGATTGGCCATTTTTTTCTTTTGGCACTTTGAATACATCATCCCACTCCCTTCTAACCTGAAAAGTTTCAGCTGAGAAATGTGCTTATAATCTCATAAAAAGCTCCTTTGTACATGACAAATTGTTTTTTCTCATTTTCAAGATTCACTTTTTGTCTCAGATTTTTGATAGTTTGTGTGTCTCAGTACAGCTCTCTACATTCATCTCATCAGAATTTTTGAGATTCCTGAATTTTATGTCAGTTTCTCTCAGATTTGGTGAGTTTACAGTCATTATTTCTTCAAATAGGCTCTCTGCCCTCTTTTTCTTTTCCTTCTGGGACTCTCATTATGCTTATGTTGTTTCACATGATGGTGTTCCATAAGTTCCTTAGCCTCTCTTGATTTTTCTTCATTCTTGTTTCTTCTTGCTCCTCTGCCCGAGTGATTTTGAAAGTCCTGTATTCAATTTCATTGATTCTTTCTTCTTTCTGGTCAAGAATTCAATTTCAGAATTTCTGTTTAGGTCTTCTTCATAGTTTACCTTTGTTAATGTTGTTGTTTGTTAACATAATGTTTTCCTGACTATACTATTTATCTATCTGTGCTGTCTTAATTCACAGAGCATCCCTATGATGGTTATTTTGAATTTTTTGGTAATTTGTATATCTCCATTTCTTTAGGGTAGGTATCAAATTTAATTTGTTCCTTTCAATGGGTAATGTTTCCCCATTCTTTGTACGTCCTGTCATCTTCTGTTGGGACTTTAGCATTTGAAAAATCAGCCACTTCTCCCAGTTTTTGTGATCTGGCTTCATACAGAGAGAAATTGCTATAATCAATCCAGCTAGAGATCCTAGAGACATCTTAAGCCTTACTCACACTTTGGGCTTGTGTGTGTAATCTAATAATTGGAGAGGTTTGCCAGTTTCTACTGAGACTCCCCTTCTGGATCTTTCTGCCTTACTGTGGCCTCTGTATGCAGTAGTTAGCTAAGCTACTTGTCTCCCATCTAACTTCTGCCCGTAGTATAGTGGAGTCTGGGGCACATTGATTGCTTTTGCTCTTAGCAGCCCCAAACTGGCTGCCCGTTCCTGTCAGTTTTTAGATTCAAGAAAGATAGAAACCAGTCCCTTAGGCACCTTCTTGAAAATTCAGATCACTGGATATATGTTCTCCTTTTTCTTCTCAGTGAGAAGATGGGAGTTGACTCCCAATCATGTTATATTGGGGGTGAATCACTTGCAAGTGAGTGCCACAAGATTTCTTACCGGGTACTGATGCAGTTGGTTTCACATTAACCTTGGGTTCAGGACCCACTTAACTGGTTTCTGGATTTCTCACAAAGGCAATTGGCTCATGTATTATTGTTAAATATGTGTCTCCATGGGAGAAGGAGGGTCTGGGGTTGCCTATTCCACCATCTTCTTAATTTCACTCCTGATTTGAATCTTTTCCAATGAATTTGTATTTATGATATAAATAATGGCCTGTCTTGGAATATTTTATGCATACTTGAAAAGAAAGTATATCCTGTTGTTAATAGCTTTTCTATAAAAGTCAGTTAGGTAAGTTGGTTAATACCATTGTGGTTGATTGTGTTGTTCAAGCCTTATATACCCTTCCTGATTTTCTTTCTGCTTGCTATCAATTTTTGAGATGAGTGTGAAATCTCTGATTATAATTTTATATTAATTATGGATTTCTCTCTGCAGTGCTAACACATTTTGTTTTATGTATTCTGAAGTTCTTTTATTAGGTACATAAGAAAGGGAATGTTGTTTAGTTGCTAAGTTGTGTCTGAATCTTTGCAACCCCACGGACTATAAAGCATCAAGCTCCTCTGTCCATGGGATTTTCCAGGCAAGAATACTGGAATGGGTTGCCATTTCCTTCTCTAGGGGATCTTCCCCACCCAAGGATTGAACCCGAGTCTCCTGTATTGGCAGGCAGATTCTTTACCCCTGAGCCACCAACAAAACCCTAAGAAAGGGAATGGTAGAAGACCAAGACACTGAGATCAGGGGAGGATTAAGCTCAAAATTGCAAATTAAAACAAGATACCCTTTACAATAAAAACCTATCTATCTATCTAACCTTGTAGTTTCTATATCTCTAGAGAACACTAATAAAAAAGATATTGTAAGCTACATGTGTGCATAGATTTTATTCATTATTTTATTTCCAGAACTGATTGGTGTGGCTAGCACATTGTGGGAAACATATTTGTGAACTTAAAAGTATTCATGATCTGACGTTCTTTTGCTCTCTGTAATGAAAATGAAGTTCATTTTCTTAACTTCTCTCATACTTATCCAACTTATAAGAGGGATAAGGACATATTGGCTTTGATAACTGGCTTGAGATAAAAAAGCTCTAATTGGGGCCTTTCATTTCTTGTAGACTCGCAACTGTTAGCAGGATTAAGAATGAAGAAATGTACATGTGAGTGATGGTGGTGGTGGAAGGGGTTGGGAAAAAATTAGTTATTGTGGCATGTAAAGTTCAAGAAAAGAACATTAAAGAGTTACTTCTGTAAGTGGGAAGGACTAAGGAGAAAAGGCATAATGTTTGAACTCACTGAATAAAAACAACAGAAGAAGAAACAAGTTACTAAAAGGAAAGAAAACATGGATTTTCTTCTTACCCCAGAGGTTTATCGCACCAAGCTAATGAACTTAAAAAAACCAGGGTTAATGTACCCTTAGCCAAAGAAAAATAGTATAATCACATTGTTTTAACTTATAAATTCATTATTTGGTTTGACTTTTCTCAGTGTTGTGATCACTAGTCTCTTATTTCTTGCTATTCCATAGCTAGGAAAAGCAACTCTCCCTCCTTTTTTTTTTTTTTTTAAATAACATAAATTTGAGTAGCCCTTAAAGCTTTTCACAAGTCTAACCTTTTTTTCCTGATTAGGGTGCTCTCCCCATCTACTCTGACCCATTCTCCTTTTTGCCTCCCATATTTTTACGGTACTTTTTGTCCATAAACATCTGGTTCAGACCTTGACTGAAGTAAAGAAAAATGGATTTCAAAGCTGAATCTATAAAAAAAGAAAATTTCTTCAGAGTCCCATGCATTCATTACAATATAATAACCAAGAGCTTGTATTACAACTGTGTTCCAACTAATTTACATTGGTTTATTCACCCTCCCCACTCCTCTTTTTTACTAAAGTGTAAGTTCCTTTCATTAACGACTAACAGAGGAGACCATCAAGACTTTATATTACACATATTCTTCGGGGATATTTAAGAAATCATCACTATTGCTTATTATCCAAACTCAGAAGAGTACCTGGCACATGGCATGTCCTCAATAACTATGTGGCGTCTGAAGGAGTTAACGTGACATTTATAAAAGCAACACTTTTCTGTGGTACAAAAAAATCACATTTGAATTACTATCAGCTATAATCCTTTCTTGTTTCAACAGGGAGGTACACGAATTGAGGACTTAATTTTTTAATTCTGGAAAGTTCAACCTTTTGTCTTAAAGAATCCATATCCTGAACGTTAAGCATCCATATGTTTTTCTTAAGTACTTGTCAAAAGGTAACCACCTCCTAGTTTTAGTCAGAAGCGTTCTTTGTCTAAGAGGTGGGTACTGCTTTTTGCTAGCCCAACTGGAATCCGACTGCGGCCTTTTTCATTAAACCAGTCCTTCCCAACACGTCCCTCTTCTCTCCCTGGGGTACCATCCCCAGTCTCCCTCTCACCTCAAGACAAAAACAGAACCGGAAACCCCATTTCCGCCAGTTTCTGTGGAAACTCCACAACACTCAAGTTGAGGCCACAAGACACGTTGTTACGGACGTGGTTTCCCTGCCCTAACCAGATTAACTTTTGTCCGGGGAATATTTGATTTCCCAGAATGCGCTGTTCAGCTCAGACCAGACAACCTTAACTACTAAAACTGTCTTCTCCAAACTCCAGTGAGGACTTGCTCTGTTGCCCAGGGTCCCCGCCCCGCCCCACGGCCCCAGTGGCGCGAAATGCGCATGCCTGGTGCGCGCCGCTTGCCCCCGCCCGGCGTCTGCTCCGCCTCTGCTCGTCGTGGATCCTCGCGCGCCGCGCGCGTCGCGCCCCCTCCTCCGTCGCGCCCCGCGGGGGCATTCACGGGCGCGCGCACCTCCTCGCGCAGAGGAACCCGGGGCAGGGACGCTCCGAGCGAGCTGCGATTGGCTGACGTGGAGGCTGCGCGTCTGGCCTGAGAAACTGGGCGAGAGCGCAGAGTCGGCTCCCGGGGCTGTGCGGGGCTCATCTCAGGTGAACGGGTAGGGTGGGAGGTTTGGGCGGTCCGAGAAAGGGAGGGTGGGTTGAGACCAGCCAGGAATTTCCGGCCGCAGCCTCCTTGGGGAAGGGGATGGGGCCGCGTAGGAACTGCACCGGGTGAATGCTGGCCCCGTGCGGCCGGGAATGATGGGGCTCCCTCGAAGGTCAGCGTTGTGTGGTCCTCCGGTCTACTTTCTCGGCAGGATTTCGGCATCTTCCCCTGTTTCTTATTACAAGAGTGCTGCAGCTGAGTTTTTATTCGAGGGTTTGTTGTTGTTGTTGCTTTGCTTTTCCCTTAAGAGGCAGTGAGTTGGGAGGTCCTCGCTCAACCTAGGATTGACTCCGTGCCCTTGAGAGTCACTCACTGGTTTGTATTTCAGTTCTCACACTTTAAGTTTCGGCAAAGAATACGGTGATTCCTTAGGTAGGCGGAGCCGTGCTGTAGAAAGATACTGTTAGAATTTTTTGAGTTCATAGTGTCTCTGGGCCCACATTTCTCGTCCTGGCTGGAAGATGACACCATCCTATAATATTTGTGAAGTATTTACTTTAAGCACCGTGGGTGGAAGGAACTGAATGAACACAAGATAACAGCATTATTAGGATGTCGTGGGAAGAAAAAACTTTTCCACCAGAAGAAGCTTTTTGAAAAGCTGCTCTGAACATTTTATGCAGATTAAATCACAGTGGTAGTAGATAAAGGTGAGGCAAAAACAAAGGGCCAAACAAAAGTACCTTTTAAGGAGGTTTTTTTCCCCCTCTTCTTTCCCAGATAATTTTCACAATGACAAGTTACTGGCTTTTCAAAGTTTCTCTTCGGGATCTATTGTGGAACTAACCTGAAATGACGGTTACATAAACATGTGGGTATCCTGTGCAGTAGTATACCAAGAGAATTAATTAAAACTACTTTCTGTGTAAAGGAATTAAAATATCTCATTGGTGGTAACGCTGACAGAGAAGTGAACAGCAGATGTACACAATTTTCCTTCAAAGGCGTAGAGTTTGTAAATATGAAATGTTTTTAGTGTGTTAATTATTAAAGGTTAATAGACACACAGAAAAGTGCATGAATCTTAAGTGTACAGTTCACTGAATTTTCACAAAGTGTGTAGATGCAAGAAAGAGCGTTACTCACATTCTAGAAGCCCCACATTTCAGTTTCTGACATCATCAGTAAATTTACTGATTATTGACTTTATATAAATGGAAACATACAGTGTATAGTCTTTTGTGTCTCACTTTTGCTTAATGTTTGTGGGATTTATACAAGTTATGTAGCAGTTGTTTGTTCTTAATGCTGTGCAGTATTTTATCCAGCCTTTGGCTGTTACTAATAGGTCTGGTATGAACATTTTTCCTAAGTATTTTGGTGAATGTATGTATACATTTGTGTTGGATATATACCCACTGGTGAAATGACTATGTTACAGGATATGCATATATGTATTTCTGATATTGTTGTTGTTGTTTAATAGCTAAGTAGCATCCCACTCTTTTGCCACTCAGTGGACTACAGCCTGCCAGGTTCCTCTGTCCATGGGATTTCCCAGGCAAGAATACTAGAGTGGGTTGCCATTCCATTCTCCATGGGATCCTCCCAGCGCAAGGACTGAACCTACATCTCTTGCGTTGGCAGGCGGATTCTTTACCGCTGAGCCACCAGGGAAGCCCATTTCTGGTATGTTGTTGTTCAGCTGCTCAGTTGTATCCCACTCTTTGTGACCCCATGACCTGCAGCATGCCATGCTTCCCTGTCCATGCTTCCATCACCAACTCCCAGAGCTTGCTCAAACTCATGTCCATTGAGTCAGTGATGCCATCCAACCATCTTGTCCTCTGTTGTCCCCTTCTCCTTCTGCCTTCAATCTTTCCTATCATCAGGGTCTTTTCTAATGAGTCAGTTCTTTGCATCAGGTGGCCAAAGTGTTGGAGGTTCAGCTTCAGCATCAGTCCTTCCAATGACTATTCAGGACTCATTTCCTTTAGGATGGACTGGTTGGATCTCCTTGCAGTCCAAGGGACTGTCAAGAGTCTTCTCCAACACCACAGTTCAAAAGCATCAGTTTTTCGGTGCTCAGTTGGATCAATTATTGTTCAACTCCCACATCCACACATGACAACTGGAAAAGCCATAGCTTTGACTAGACGAACCTTTGTTGGCAAAGTGATGTCTCTACTTTTTAATATGCTGTCTAGGTTGGTCATAACTTTTCTTCCAAGGAGCAAGCATCTTTTAATTTCATGGCTCCAGTTACTGTCTGCAGTGGCTTTGGAGCCCAAGAAAATAAAATCTGTTACTGTTTCCACTTTTCCCAATCTATTTGTCCTGAAGTGATGGGACAGGGATACCATGATCTTAGAGTTTTGAATGTTGAGTTTAAGCCAGCTTTTTCACTCTCCTCTTTCACCTTCATCAGGAGGCTCTTTAGTTCTTCTTTGCTTTCTGCCATTTCTGGTATACATTACTAAAAAATTGTTCAAATCAGTTTCCACATGCTTGAAACATTTAGCATCATCCTTTTCATTTTACCCATTCTATTGGGTAGTGATATCACATTGTGGTTTTTCCCTAATTTCTCTACTGATGAATGATATTTACAGCCCTCTGTATGTCTGTTGGCCATTTGGGTATCTCCAGTGTCAGGGGTCATCAAATTTTTTGTAAAGGGCTAGATAGTTAATATAGGCATCTTGCTTTGTAGAGATTCAGTTAAAGCAATACTGTGTGAAGCTAGGACTGCTCGTATTTTAGGCGTTGTGGGCCATATAGTGTCTCTTTCATATAGTTTGTATTTTCTTCTTTCCTTTTTTTTTTTTTTTTTTGCTTGCCTGTTTGCTTGCTTCCCTGTCTACCTTCCCATCCTTTCTCTGCTCCTTTTCTTCCTTCGTCCCTCCCTCTCATTCTTGTCTTTAATTTTCTTTTCTCCTTCCTTCCTTCCTTCATTTGTACTTCACTAACCATTACTGCATTGAAAATGACTATTCATAAATGACTATTTGATCTTCTACTCATTGTTGGTGGTGACATCATTCCATTCACTTCAGTCACTCAGTCATGTCTGACTCTTTGTGACCCCATGGACCGCAGCACACCAGGCCCTCCTGTCCATCACCAGCTCCTAGAGCTTGCTCAAGCTCATGTCTGTTGAATTGGTGATGCCGTCCCAACCATCTTATCCTATGTTGTCCCCTTCTCTTCCCGCCTTCAATCTTCCCAGCATCAGGATCTTTTCCAATGAGTCAGTTCTTCACATCAGGTGACCACAGTATTGGAGTTTCAGCTTTAGCATCAGTCCTTCCAATGACTATTCAGGACTGATGTCCTTTAGGATTGACTAGTTGGATCTCCTTGCAGTCCAAGGGATTCTCAAGAGTCTTCTCCAACACCACAGTTCAAAAGCATCAATTCTTGGAAGCTCAGCTTTCTTTGTAGTCTAACTCTCACATCCATACATGACTACTGGAAAAACCACAGCCTTGAGTAGATGCACCTTTGTTGGCAAAGTAATGTCTCTGCTTTTTAATATTTGCTGTCTAGGTTGGTTACAGCTTTTCTTCCAAGGAGTAAGTGTCTTTTAATTTCATGGCTGCAAGTCACCATCTGCAGTGATTTTGGAGCCCAGAAAAATAAAGTCAGCCACTGTTTCCACTGTTGCCCCATCTATTTGCCATGAAGTGATCAGACTGGATGCCATGATCTTAGTTTTCTGAATGTTGAGCTTTAAACCAACTCTTTCACTCTCCTCTTTCACTTTCATCAAGAGGCTCTTTAGTTCTTCTTTGCTTTCTGCCATAAGGGTGGTGTCATCTGCATATCTGAGGTTACTGATATTTCTCCCAGCAATCTTGATTCCAGCTTGTGCTTCATCCAGCCCAACATTTCACACGATGTACTCTGCATATAAGTTAAATAAGCAGGGTGACAATATGCAGCCTTGACGTACTCCTTTTCCTATTTGGAACCACTCTGTTGTTCCATGTCCAGTTCTAACTGTTGCTTCCTGACCTGCACACAGATTTCTCAAGAGGCAGATCAGGTGGTCTGGTATTCCCATCTCTTTCAGAATTTTCCACAGTTTATTGTGATCCACACAGTCAAAGGCTTTGGCATAGTCAATAAAGCAGAAAAAGGTGTTTTTCTGGAATTTTTGCTTTTTTGATGATCCAGTGAATGTTGGCAATTTGATCTCTGGTTCTTCTGCCTGTTCTAAATCCAGCTTGAACGTCTGAAAGTTCACAGTTCACATACTGTTGGAGCCTGGCTTGGAGAATTTTGAGCCTTACTTTGCTAGCGTGTGAGATGAGTGCCATTGTGCAGTAGTTTGAGCATTCTTTGGCATTGCCTTTCTTTGGGAGTGGAATGAAAACTGAACTTTTCCAGTCCTGTGGCCACTGCTGAGTTAATATTAGCATATATTCAAGTAAATACCTAAATTGACTTCTATAAACCACCTAAAAAAAGAGTTGTTAGCTAAATATGTTAACATACTTTCAAAAGTTTTTTTTTATACTTTTAGTTCTAAGTGAAAGGCAAGGGGCCAAAAATAAGAGATGAACTGGACAGCCCAGTGAAGCATTTAAGGAAGACAGGACCTCAAACTTAGGGAGCGGTGCCACAGTTGAGTTTCATGGCTCAAGCCATTGATAATTGAAAGTGAAAGTCGCTTAGTTGTGTCCGACTCTTTGCAACCCCATGGACTGTACAGTCCGTGGAATTTTCCAGGCTAGAATGCTGGAGTAGGTAGCCTTTCCCTTCTCCAGGGGATCTTTCCAACCCAGGAATTGAGCCCAAGTCTCCTGCGTTGCAGGCAGATTCTTTACCAGCAGAGCCACAAGGGAAGCCCTTGTGGAAGTAATTGTTAATTACCTTATGAGTGTACTCAGTCGTGTAGATATAAATTTCAACCAACCCATCCCAAGATGGAACAGCTCAAAAGACAATATCCATCTCAAAATATGACAAAAAGTTTATGCTTTTTGATACTTTTTTTACTCAGTGTTGACAACTGCCTGGATATCCGTCTTTTTCGTAGACTTTTATGTAAATCAACAAAGGTTGTATTTCCTTTCTTTTCTTCTTCTTACCTCTCTTTTATTACTCAGGTAAAAGGGAATGAGAGATATTTAACACCAAAACATTACAGTCACCCATTGCTATTGTTCAGTTGCTCAGTCGTGTCCAACTCTTTGTGACCACATGGACTGCACCAT